GTATTGGGTAGGAGTACCTCGGGGAGTCGCCTGGGGGACGCGCTATACGCCCCCCCCCTCAGGTCTTACGGGCACCTGATTTTAGGGAAGCGGACGGACGGGGCATGTCAGGGAACAAATTAGAACGCAATAATCCTGTGAAATAAGAGAGTTAGCAGGGGAAGCTGGGGCGCGTACGCAGACCTCGGGCGGGGACACTGAAGAACGCTTCAATATTATCGCTAAACCCCACTGGATCAACAACGAGCGCGTTTATGTCGGGGGGAGTGTACCCTTACCTCCGGCGAGGACATTGAGGTATATTTTTAGAAGTAACGCTAAGCCCCAAATGGAATGAAGGCGAATAAATGAAGAAATTGGGAAGATTGTGGAAATTGACCCTACTTAAAATTTTTAAGTAGGCGGTTATTCCCGTGTTTAATGTAAAACGCCGTTTTTACTTAATATACTGGCTTCAGCGGTTATCGTATGGGTTGGCCTTCCGAGGACCCTTCTGCCGTTCAATCTCATCATCCACTGCCTCCTAGATCGACTGCCGACAGGCAAGGAACAGGAAGTTTGTGGGGAAATTCACCCTACTGAAATTTGAAAGTAGGTGGTTATAATATATAAGCACACACCTGCGACCCCAACAGGTACTCTCACCCAGTATTGTATACAGAATAACATTATCGACGAAGATAGGTGAGTGAGTGAGTCCTGTAACAGACCACTGAGCGCCAATTTACCCGCAAAAACGCGACAGGTTATCGTTACACTTCTAGCCAACACGTCAGGTGAATATAGCCTGCTGCTGCTGCTGATGATGATGACTAATGTGCCAGAAATGGTCCTACCAGACTCCATTGTCTTTGCCAGTCATTCTTCTGTGGCTGCTAGTCGGGCTCGAGGTTAAACCGTAAGGCGTGTGTGCAAAACATATCCATCAGACTCTGTTAGTTGGACATCGAACTAAACTTCGTCCCCGACAGTTTCTACATTTCACAGTACGTTTTTTGTAATCATCGTCATTTGATTTTTTTACACTGCAGGAAACCCCTGTTTTTTCCCCATACTATTTCGGTCTTCCACCCATTCACCACCATACTGTGTTATATTTTATTTTTAAGGTCTGGCGATGAGCAGTTTTAAAGATTCGTCTACACCTTTGCGATGCCTGCGTTAACCGGTTGCCTCCCCTTTTTTCAGACCTAGATGTCCGATCGCCATTGGTCCGTGCACTTCGCATGACCTCTTCGACGTGGTTCCCTTCTCTTTCGCCTCCTTCTCTCTTCCTCCATCAGTTCCCCCCCTCTCTGTCAGCCCGACAATGCCGCCGCTTTGACGGCGCCGCTTTTTCCCTTTTATGCCCTGGTGGCAGCTCTGATGAAAA